TTTACTTCTTAGTAAAGATGTTTATACATTTTATAAAACACAAACGTTTGATGACTTTAGATGTTATGCACCATAAAATGCTGAAATTAATCGAAATTGTCTCCGAATTAACTTCCTATAATTTCGACAATCCTATAACAAGAGTGATCTGAATTTAAAAAAATGAAATACGAAATTATGCGAAAAGTTTGTATTTCATTGTCACGATTTTTTTATATGGTGCATGTTTAACAGTTCGTTTATTATTGCTATTTATGAGATAGCTATAATTTTTAATTAGAATCACAAATTTCCACAGAATTCTTTATCCGCAAAATATATAAATAATAAAATTCTTTTAATAACAAGTAGATTTTTTGATTATAGATACGTCCTGGTAAACCTTAAATATAAAAAAATTCGAATCCACCAAAATTAAACAATAAATTATACAAAAAATATTCAAAACTATAGAATATATTGTTTCAAAATCAAAAGATTCAACCAGCCTCCTGCCCAATTATGACAATTTTCGTGTGCTTTTCGATACATTTTTTAATATCATGTCGAGATCTGTTGGAATTCTGAATCCATATTGATAAAAGTCAGCCAATTTGAATTGAGAGATGTTCAATCTAAATTCAGCAGATCCTAAATACATGTACCATTCAACATGCTTTTTTACCATTTTTGTTTTGTTCCATTTCCTTGAAAATGGCACTCTGAGCATATCGAGTGTCAATATTTTCTGATTCTGCTGATTTCTGAAACACGAAAATGCTTTGTGCATATCTCTATTAGCGTTAGTTCCACCCACTGTATACTAGCATCTACAAGTTTGAATAGTTCAGAATATCCATCCATTGATAATTTCAAAACAATTCAAATGTGTTCATTTATTGCGTTGCGTTCTTATACCATTTCGATAACAATTACCGAGATTAAATTGTCCTCTAATATTCCCACTCTTAGCTAATTTCAAATATCACTCAAAGGCTTTTTTCTCGTCTTTTTGAGTTCCGATTCTATTTTGATATAACAAATCAAGATTAGATTGTCCTCTAGATCACAAAAGCTGCATGTTCTTCACTATATCGAGAGTTTATTAGTAAATCTACTATATCGAGTGGATTTTATTAGAGGCAGTTTTGAATATTATCCACTATAACGTGAATTTAATTAGTCTCCACTATGGGTGGCTTAACTTTGAAATTATTATTCGTTATTTATCGTTAATATTTTTGCTTTGTGTTATTCCGTGATCGAAATACGTGGTAACTCCGGGCTCTTTTTGCCTAATTCTTCGGCTGAACAACAGCTTTTTGTCGGTATCGTCGTCGTTAGCATTTAGCGTTATCGTCGGTGGCGGTTTTGGCTAAATTAATTTCAGCCAGGTAAGTCTAGTTTCGTTAGTTGTGTCCTCATTTGTTCGGCCAGTTGTTGGAGCATGCCATCTAGATTTCTCATGATAACATTACCGTTATCATTATTATTACTTGGTCGTCGTGAATTCTTCAGGTTGTCAGTGACGTTTTGGTTAGAAGCGTTGGTGAGTGGAAGTTTGCTGCCTTTTACCGGTCGTAGGTCTTTTCTTCCAACTTTTTGTCCTTGTTGCTTGGTTTTGCCATTTTGTGGCGAATTCCGAGTTTCTTTGTTGAATTTCCTTGGTTATCACTGGTGTTTTTCTTCTTGTTTTGGCGCTGTTCCGCAGAATGGGCAATTTTCTATCGGAAATGCCACAACTTGTGGTCTAAACACTCAACACAATATAATGGTTTTGATGTTCCTTTTTGCTGTTGTGGGGGAGGGTTCTGTCTGGGAACGAAGCAAAGATTCTGAAGGGGGAGGGTCTGTCTGACGGTTGCTGCTAGAAAGTCACTAAGCTCTCTCAGGCTTTGTGCTTCGACTGCAGCTTACCTCGATAAACGATAGCTTGTGATCTGAATATGGGAGGTCACAAACAAGAAAAAAATGCACATTTACAAGAGGCCAAAAAGATAAAGCCATTTCGTGACATTGTCAACAAAAATCTTCGTAAAAATTTAACCAAAGATTCTTTAAAGTAATTTCATCCTTTTTCATAATATATTATGCTCATTAATTTGAAAAAATATACTTTGACTGTGCAAACACAACAATAACTAGCGCCGCCGGACCACATCAACGCAGTCTTAGCATCAAATGAAGGAATCACCACACATGCTGAGAAAACGCTGCAAGCTTATCGTGAGAATCGTCATTTCCCTTTAAAACAAAGAAAGCACGGAATGACAAAGCATGGTACGTCAAGAAATGCGACAAATTCCGTATACGATCGGACATAAGCAACTCCGAATATAAGCAATCCCTCCATTTTGGGGATCAAATCAATACAATTACAAATACCGATCTAAACAACTTCAAACACTCTGGTATTTGAATATAAGCAACCACCCCACTTTGGCAGGGTGCAAAATTCATTGGTTACTTGTGTTCAAACATATACGGTACATAAACAAGTTTTCTGTAGAGTTTTTTTGTTGTCCCCGTGTTTGTACATGCCATTCCTTGCAATTTCGTGGATTTTTACGTCCTTCCCTTTTTTATAGGGTTTGTGCTGGCAAATAGCGTGACGATCACTTTTGGTTTGCACGATGAGTTTCGTTTTGACTAATGAGTATATTATGAACGTAACATTTTATTACATCCTTAGAATATATTTTGAATATTAGAAAACAAAATATAAACTTGTTTTGAATTTTATTTCGTTATGA